TCCCCCGCCTCGGGTCCCAGCCCAGCCCAGCCCGGGCTCACGGCTGGGCATATTCTGCAGGGCTCGTGCCTCACATGACAGCATCTTTCATCTTTCATTCCTGGAGGCTCCTGGGGGTGGCAGCCCAAGGCCCGGGGCTGCGCTCACTCAGTGAGAAGATCGCCAGGCCTCGCCCCCGCAAGTCCTGCCAGCCCAGCCTGGCCGCAAGCAACGGCGGCCACTCTCCACTGCCTGGCACAGGACCCCAATCCCCGAGGCACCTTCCAGCCCACTGACCAATAGGAACAGGGACGTTGGTCTGCTCCTCATCCACTACCTCCGGGCAGCCCCCATTAGGCATCAGGCCCGGGTTCCTGGCCTGCCTGGGCTCCCCAGCCAGTCCCTCCTCATCCTCAACTCTGGGTCGTTTAGCTCCCGGCCTGTGAACAGGTGAGTACGGACATGCAGGTAACGAACGCTCTGAGATCAATGGGGCTATTGCTTTCGGAAATGTTCCCCACACTGAGATCTAAAGCGAGGGTGTCATCCAGGGGCTGCAGTTCCTCTGGCTTTCCCTTCCCATCGGGAGGCTGCTCTGTTCTCCCTGAATATGCTTCAGACAGGTGATTTCATAATGTGTTCATAGACAGTTTCCTTAGAAGTACAACAGTATCTGTGATCTATGCTCTGAACAGTAGTGCTGAACAAAGAATAGGAATGATATGAAGATCCTGAATAGATTCCTAATGTTACAAGAGGACTAAAGAATATTTTTGAAGTACTATTGATAAAAGTACATTTTTGAAATGCTATTGATAAAAGTACATTAGTCATTACCAGGAACTCAAGTAAAAGATTACAGTGTAATATTAATAATACATTTTGTTCTGTATGTGACTCCCCACCAGAGACTGTCAGTTACCTTTTGTTTGTACAGTGCCTCGCTCAAGTGCCCCAATCTCATAGCCTGTTGGTACTACAGTAAAATGCATGTTAATAACAACATGAAAAAATAGTGAAAATACAATGTTTGAATTAATTTAAGTTGCATCATAGTTGAATTACTTGTGGATAGTTTACACCTAAAGAAGAAGAAGAAAACAACAATCATTTCTCCCATTTGGCAGCCAGCTTCAATTCTTGTCCAGAGAATGACAACAGAAAATGTTATGGATAGTCTTTGACCCTAAAACTCAGTCATGGAAATAAACTTTAAGAGGTCTGGGATCTTTAAAATGGCATTAGCAATGACAGTGACTCTGACAATGAAAATTAAAAGTGCAAATAACTCTTCCAGCAATTCATAAAATATAGATTAAGAAGAGATGTTAAAAACAAGTATTTTTACTGACCTACTGAGAGTATTGTCCACGATCTTTGAAAAATGTCAAGTCCCTAGGAGAACAAGAGCTCAGAAGAGGAGACAAATTTCTGCATTGGAGGAAGCAGCTGTGAAGGACTTAGAGACAGCTGATGAGAAAACGTTCAAAAAATGAAAATATATAAACACTGTGTGGGGGATCTAGAAAACTAACAGAATTAGAAACATCAGGGTTGCTGGACTAAATGAAATATGAACTGGAACAGGATCTGGAGCAAAAGTACATTCTAAAGGATATATGTAACTCTGACCTTTCTGGACTTCCTACACAATCTAGTCCAGAAACAACCCATTAGTTTCCAGCTCAAACAGAGGACCTTTAGAAATAATTAAAGGATCTAGAACTGAGATTTTGACTTGTTCCTCTTTCTGGAAATGAAGAAGGAAGTTGCAAGCTGGCAGACGTACTGGACAGTTGATGGGTAGGGAGACCCATATTTCTTTCTAGTAAACGATTGTCTTTATTGCAGAGAATTCTCTCTTCAGGAGTTAAAAACTTGCCAAAAATCTAAATCTTGCCAGATTTTGGCTGTGAATGGGAAGCTAGGAAGACATAGTTAGCACTCCAATAAAGGCAAGAGCATTAAGTGCTAGGTCTATAATAGTAGATTCATTCCCTGAGGCTACGTCTAGACTACAGGCTTCCTGTGCAAGAACCCTTTTTCAGCAGAGGTCTTCCGAAAAAGAGCGCGTCCACACACAAAAGCGCATCGAAAAAGCGATGTGCTTTTGCAAAAGAGAGCGTCCAGACTTATTGGACGCTCTCTCCCATAAAAGGCCACCCGGAACCACTTCAGGCAGGGCTTTAGGTCACCAGTTGCTTCTGAGTGCTGGTGCTGGAACCTTGCAGAGACACGCACTTCAAGGGACCCCCCTGGACCTCTGTTTCTCTGCTTCTGCTGTGTGCTTCCTACCTCTTTGAGGGACAGCAAAGCTTCAGCGGTGCCTGCTGTGGTTGCCCTGTTCTTTTTCCCTTGTGCCATGGAGCCAGAGCTGCCCCTGGGCATGCGATGGCTTCACACGGCCATGCTGCAGTTTTTACAACATTTACTGCCAGCTGCCTTCCTGTTCCTGCATGACCTAGACCCCAAGCTCATTCTGGGGACCCCCTCCATGGCTGCGGCAGTTCCACTCTACCAACTGCACCCCACAATGGAGAGGCATTTTTGGAGGCTGGACACCAGTTCTGACTGGTGGGACCTGCTGGTCATGGGGTGGTGGGACGACCAGCAGTGGCTCCAAAACTTCCGCATGCGGAAGGCCACCTTTTTGGAGCTGTGTGCCTGGCTCCCTCTGCCCTCCAGAGACACGACACCCACCTGTGGCCTGCCAGCTCCCTGAGGAAGCAGGTTGCACTCACGCTCTGGAAGCTCACCACCCCAGACAGCTACCTGTTGGTGGGCAACCAGTTTGGTGTGGGGAAGTCCACCACTGGGGCCCACCTCATGGAGGTAAGGCACTCTCGGGCTGCAGTCCCTGCAGGGCGGGAGGAGGATGTTGGATAAGGGGGACCTCGGGAGTGGGATGCCGGGGGCAGGGAGGAGTGGAGGTGGGAGGAAAACTCCATCCCCGGCAGCTTGTGCTGTCCCGCCCTCACACAGCTGTGCTGCTGCGGGTGGGGAACAGCCTCGTAGGAGGTGGCTCCTGGGGTGTTTGAGGGGGGCTGGCCCTGGTCCTCCAGCTCCTCCTCCGGGGTGACCTGTGGCCAGACGACGACGGGGAGGGGGGGGGTCTCAAACCTGGAGTCCACCAGCATGGGTGGGGAAGACATTTTCCCTCCTCCCAGGATATGGTGGAGCTCTCTGTAGTAGGGTCAGGTGTCCTGCCTCTGAGTGGGAGCTGCACTCAGTGGCCCAGACATACTTCACTCCGGAACTGTTCCATGGTCCGGGTTGGGTGTCCGTGCTCCGCAAGGGACGCAGCCATTCAGCCATAAATGTCGATGTTCCACCGCTTGGCCCGGGGATCCTGCAGCGTCTCCTCCTTGCCCCACACCTTGAGGAGGGACTGGATATCCAGGACTGACCACGAAGGGGCATGCATCTTCACCCCCCTGGGTGAGTCCTGGGACCCCTGGGGCTGCTCCCTGTGAGGGCCAGGGAGGTCACTAGGGGCTTCAGGGGTGGACATGGCTGGCAATGGCTGTGGCAGGAACAGCCGTGCAATCAGGGTGCTGCTCTCTGTCCCCCTTGCTGCCACAAGGCTAGTCTAGGGTCCCTGCAGCTTTAAGAGGGGCCAGGAGACAGGAACTATAGAGTTGTGATTAGTTTGGAGTGGCCACCAAGGCACCTGTGCTTTTTCCTTGGAGGCCTCTTCTTCCGCAAAAAAACCCTCCTCCCTGTCCACACACGCCTTTTTGGGAAAGAGCTCTTTCACAAAAAGGCTTCTTCCTCACAGAATGAGGAATACCAATACCGCAAAAACCCCTCTGTTCTTTCGATTAACCGTCGAAAGAATGTACTTGCAGTGTGGACATAACTCAGGTTTTGTGGGGAAAATGGCTGGTTTTCTGACAAAACTCTCTAGTGTAGACATACCCCGTGTCAGGAAAGCACAGAAGCACATGATTAACGTTAAACATGTGCTTCATGCCACTGAAGACAATGAGACTGAAATCAATGGGATTAAAGCACATGCTTAGAATTAAATTTGTGCATAAGTGCCCAGATGTATAAGGCTGCCTTCCTGAAGTGAGGCCCTAAAAGTGGGGTAATAAACTAAAGATGGGATTTTCAAAGGAGCCTATGGGAGCAAGGCCTGAATTCAAAGAGAGCTGTAAGCCTGACTCTCCTAGATTCCTTTGACAATCCCAGCTAAGAGCTCTAAGTAATATTTAAGTTCCCATTAGCAAGCATAGGATTTTGCAGAACTTGTGGTTTCCAGTGCTTTTACTCCGTAATAGATTTCAAGGCCAGAAGTGACCATCTAGTCTGATCTCCGGCAAATGCAGACCACAGAACCTCACCTACTCATTCCTGCAGCAGGCCAGGAATAAAGTACTAAAGTCCTCAAATTTCGATGTAAAGATTTTAAGCGTTAGAGAATCAAGCGTTTATTTTTGAGGATAATGCTATAGCTAGAGAAATAAAACAGCCCACATGAACAATTCAGCAAGGTTAGAGGAGGAATATTAAAATATCATGAAATCCAGCCTATGTTTTCTTTTCTTGATTTTGTTCCAATACTCCTAACTTCTAACTCC